GCCTTGAACTCATTATGATTCTCCTGCCTGAGCCTCTTAAATGCTGGGATTACAGGAATGCGCCATCTCACCCAGCCATTTATAAGGGAAACAAGGGCAGCTGCTGCGCAGGCGAGCGGGATGAGGATATTGCAGCTGTGGGTAATAAGGCGGCATCCAAAACCTGCTGGGCACCGAGGAGCCTTGGCTCCTACCTAATCACGCAGCGGCCCACAAATACACAGACGTCACAGCCCAAAACACTAGCTGAGCGGGAAGGAGAGGCTGGGCTCTGCATGATCCGAGGACAGTGAGGCCAGAGAGAGGGAGGGGAAGGCTGAGAGCAACAGGCGGCACTCCGAGGGTCCAGCTCACCTTTTATAAGCCAGGTGGCTGTGGCCGCTGCAAGAGAGGCTTCTGCGTTCCCCACCCCCAAGCCCAGCATGACGGCGTGGGTGGAGAGGGCGCTGGAGAGACTGGAAGCAAAGGCCTGGAGAAAAAAAGAAGGGCGTACAGTCGTAGAAGCCTGGAGGTCTACATTCTATTATCAGCTCACCCCGGATGGTGACTCGGGTCAGGATACCGATCGCTCAGGGCCTCAGTCTCCGGTCATTAGCGCGGAGGGAGAAGGGCTTGCACTGTCCAGGGCCCCAGAAATATGCCGCCCCGGCCTCCGAGCAACAGGCTAACCTGCACGGAATCCCACTGCTGGTAAGGCAGGTAGTCCGGGCTAACGCTGTCGGGGAAGCCTTGAGGCAGTAATACGGCCTTGAGGCCCGAGAGAGGAGGTGACGCAGCCGTGGGAGACCCCCTGCCGCCGCCCTCTCGTCCTTCGGGTTTCTGGCTGAAGGCCTGGGAGATCCTCCACCACCAGGGCCAGTCCTCCTCCTCCCACTGCAGGCTTCCGTCAGCTGCGGCAAGGCAGCTCCGTGCTTCTTCGGAGCCGAACTGCTCGGAGCACAGCGCAGTCTCCAGATCCTCCGCGTCAGCCATCCTGGATCTCCTGGCTGAAGTACCGCTGAGAAAGAAACGCAGCAAGGGATGCTTCCGGCTCGGCTATGGCAGCCGCAGAGGGGCAATCTTCCTTTGTACAGCTTGCAAATCGCACTACGACGTCCTTTGACCTCCAGGCCCCTCCTCAGACACTGCTGGAATGGGCCATTTTTTT